TTCTAAGTTAGAACTTCTAACTTCATACTTTTTATTTACTCACACTGACTGTTCTAAAAATTTTTTTTTTTGAGTGCAATAAGAAAAGCCTAGTATTTTGAATTTTATTTTGATGTTATTCTAAGATTTTCTATTAAAATAAAGTCAGTAATGACATTTTTTGCGTTCTCTTTTTATCTGAAAAACTATCCAAAAGTATCGAAATACATTTTGGTACCGGTACCGGTACCAAAATGTTGGTATCGTGACAACACTAGTTTGAAACAAGTAACACTGCAGTACAGATCCTGAAATTGGCCTTGGTGTGTCCTTGGAATTAAACTAGTATTGCAAAGCCTCTACTTTATCTCGTCTCACCTCCAGTAGCTCAGTCCTTGACAAATGGGGAAATAGCTCCAGTAGTTTGCTCATTTTTTCCTCCAATTCATTGTCCCCATCATCTGTATGATCCGATATCATGTGTTTGGATAATTTGCCACTGGGATTCCCATAGAAGGAAGACAATGAGACTGTAAGCCAGAATGAATCAGCTAGAATATAAAAAAACTGAAAATGTGATCATTTTAGCTGTCACTTACATGGCGTTTCTGGTTGACGATATTTTGGTCTTTGTTTCAGAGAGTACCTCATCTTCCTCTGAGTCAACAGTAAGGACATCCTCAAAAACCACTCCTCGGGCATGGGACTTTGATGGAGCTGTGACAGGTTTCATCTGAGCTGGAAAGTATAAAAGCAAGGTGGAGGAAGCCTCTGCAAATTACATGATACAAAATGAGGATCCACTTCATAAATTGTTGCTGCTAATATGTTTTTATGGTAAATGTCAATGTTAACAATACAAGAGTGTTTCACCATGATGATAAACAGATACTGTGAACTTTAGGGTCAGCTATCCGACAATTTTAATTTTTACACTGCAAATGAGGTGATAACAGCAAGAGGCAGGACACCTGAGAACAACAGTCATGCTTTTAACAACTTGAAAATAACAACAAAACCGCCTAATTAGATTACTCAGTCCTTTTATTGGCAGACCATCTAACCTCCATGAAACACCCCTGAAGATAGAAATTAAAGATGGAAAATACATAAAGGACCCAGACCAGAAACCTTGGTGGGCTTAGGAATCATGGATCTACCTGCTTGTTCTACAGGTGAGTGATCAATTACCATCTGGGATCTCATCATAGTACTGTTATCCACATTAAGTGGAATCTTATTCTGGTTTTACAGTATGAAGGGTGGAGAAAAATTGTCTCAAAGCTCAAACAGCCATTTTGAAAATACCTTCACATTATGGTACTGGCACTTTGCCTTCGATGTACTGAGGCATTTACAGTTGTTGTCCAGCTATACCGCAGACAAATAAACCCATAGTAATAAGTATTGTTTAGTAATAATATGACAAACTATGGCATCTGCCCCGGTGTTGTTATAATATAAAATCATTCTGACCTGCAGCGAAAGATGGCATGTTAATAAATAGCCATGTGACTTAACTACTGCTAACAATAGCATAGCTAGCTGCAACATCTGCTAATTACCTGGCTTGTTCTCCTTCTCAGATTCTGGACTTTTGGACCCGTTATTCAGGTTTTTGCTCGTTGCCGTTCCTGCCTTCTTCTCGAAACGAAAACGGTCTAAATTGAACTGACTCATGTTAACAGTCTATTTCGTACCTGAAGCCGGGAGCCCTTTGTCTCTTTCTAGTCAGCAGTAGTTTCTC